GTCTTAAAAGACACTTCTATAAAAAAAAAATGTTTTGGGCATCTCTCTTTCTCTCACCTATATGTTTTTTTTACTTAAGGGGTTGTATGTTTTTTTACTTAAGGGGTTGTATGTTTTTTTACTTAAGGGGTTGTGTGTTACGTGTAAAAATTTGATTGGAAAATACTTATAGGAACAATATTTATATATGCAAACAATTTACACGAAAAAATTACTCAAGCATGCTCTTTCTAAAAACTCGAAATTTTAGAAAAAGTTGGAAAGAAGGAGAGAACACAATAAACTTGAAATTTTAAGATAGTTTCTCTCTCTAAATATTTTGAAATAGTTTCTCTAAAATTTATAATTTGATATAGTTTGTTTCTCTAACACTTTGAAATTTGAGATGGCTTTCCCCTCTAAAAATTTTTAGATAGTTTCTCTCTCTACAAAATTTGAGATAGTTTCTCCCTTTAAAAATTTATAAGTGCTTTCTCTCTTTAAAATTTGATATAGTTTTTCTATCTAAAATTTTAAAATATCATATCTCCATAAAACCTAAAATTTGTGATATTTTATCTCTCTATAAATGTTCAGATACATTCTCTCTAAAATTTGACAGAGTTTATTATCTATAATGTTAACATAATTTCTCTCTCTAAAACTTAAAATTTGAGATAATTTCTCTCTCTAAAATTTTTGAGATAGTTTCACTCTCTAAAGATCTTTAGGTAGTTTTTCTCTCGAAAATTTGATATAATTTATCTCTCTAAAATTTTAATATATTTTCTTTCTCTAAAATTTGAAGTTTGAAATAGTTTCCCTTTAAAATATTTTGAGATAGTTTCTCTGTATAAAACTTTTCAAATACTTTCTCTCTCTAAAATTTGATATAGTGTATCTCTCCAAGATTTTAAGATACTCCCTCTAAAACTTAAAAATTGATATTGTTACTCCCTCTAAAAATTTTGAGATAGGGTCACTCTAAAAAATTTCAGGTAGTTTTTTGTTCTAAAATTTTAAGATATTTTCTCTCTCTAAACCTTATAATTTGAGATAGTTTCTATCTCTAATTCTTGGGGATGTTTGGTGAAATTAATTGCATCTGATAAAGTGAGTGGCTCCGGTGTGTGAAAATAAACCCGTGAATGTACTTTCCCACGTCTAGAGATGTGGTTATATTTTCACATGAATTGGACCAATTTGTACTAAAAAATTTTACCTTCGTACTCTATGAGATCTAATCTCCCATTGTTCCTCGGTAGCTCACTGATCGAGTGGTCGGCCTTTAACTGATTGGTCGTAGATTCGAATCCTAGGTGGGAGATGTGATTCATTAAATATCCGAATTACTCTAACCATTAGGGGGTCGTTCGGATACTTCGAAATATATTGTCGGTGAAATATATTATTGGCGTAATACATTACATGTAAATGAATTGTTACTATTTGGGTAGTATTTAGATGCAACCTCTGCGTAATACATTACTTGTAAATGAATTGTTGCTGTTTGGGTAATATTTAGATGCAACTTGGGAAATACATTGCTATTGTTTGGGTTTGTCTGAAACAAATATGGGAAATGCATTATCAACACTTTACCGACACTTGCCTATAAACTGTCATTTCTTTCTATTTTATCACAAAATTCCGCTTAAATGCGGAATTGAAGTCATCATTGCACCATTTCAAAATGGGTGGTTGTACTAGTGTCATTGAATAAATACAAAAATTTTTTTAAAAAAATTCTCCTCATGCCTCACCTCAAGCCATCTAATTTGATATATAATATTTGAGAATGATTGTGACATCCATTCACAAACGATAAATGATCTCTTTATAGAAATTCCTATCTAATATTGGAATGCATGTGTATAGATAAGATGACTATACCATGCTTATCGTGACTCAAAGAATAAATAATGTGAATTAATATTGGTCATAAATATTTGGTGACTTATTTTAGTTACAACCTTTAAATATGATTAAAAAGTACAGGTAATATATTGCAGATAATTTATCACTTTTTTATATGTACCTAATCCTTAATCCCAAAAAATCTTTTTTTTGTTTTTAAAGATTAATCATTATAATTTATCTATATATATATATATATATATATATATATATTCAAAAGATTTAGATTCAAAATGAGGGTTTATAATTGTAGTTTAGAGAGAGTAGGTAGAAATGGATATACACATGAGATAGGGAGAATAGTGGGAGAATAGATACGTAAATAAAAAGGAAAATAACGGTAGATAGAGGATTTTGTTATTTCAGCGCTAATTAGATTAGATTAGCGGTGTAATTTATTTCCATTTCTTTACCGTTACAGTGTACTATGATAAATCTCATATTTTTGTAATATGTTTTTCCCGTAATAGATTTTCAGATACGAAACGGCCCTAGGAGTAGGTAACCCGTTCCTTGTTCTTGGGAAAATATAATTGTGGCATTAATGTGTGGTTTTGATATAAAAATATTTTCAAACATGCTCTGAAGGTGAACTCAATATAAAAGTGGGGTGAACCAGTTCCTTCCCAAACCCAAATGGCAAACAGCTCAGAAATGGAGAATGGAGATGGATGGAAGAAAGATGATTTCACAAAAGATGGGTCAGTGGATCTGAAGGGACGCCCAGTTCTCCATTCCAAAACTGGAAGATGGACCGGCTGCTCTTTCATCGTTGGTAAGCAACCCCAAACCTTTTATTTTCTCATATTAAAATTTCCTTATAATTAAAGTAGCGTTCAGAAAATCATCAGGCCTTGGCTGTGGTGATTTACTCGAGGGAGAGATTCCATGAAAAATTGGTGGCAATAATTACTTTTAAAAGCAAACATGGGCGGTTTAGGAAAATGAGGAGGAACCATGAATCATTATTTTGAATTTTTGAGAATTAAGGTGCTGTGTTGGATATTTGTAAAGAAAAAAATAAAATAAAAAATTGTATGGTTAAGGGAGAGGGATGCTGCTTTTTATCTTTGCCAGCTAGAATTGTTCCTTTATGTTAGACAGAGAGTCATGGCAAGTAGCTATCATTAATGACTTGCAGTTTTGCAAATTATGAACAGGTACATGATTATTAGGATAATCGCAAATTACACTAACTAAATTCATAATCTCTTTCCGTTTATCCTATAGTAATTTTGTTGCTTTAATTTTCTTACTTTTATGGTTGTAGGGTATGAGATATTTGAGAGGATGGCTTATTATGGAATATCTTCAAATTTGGTGCTGTATTTAACAAATAAGCTACATGAGGGTACGGTGGCATCTTCAAGGAACGTGACAAACTGGGTTGGCACCGTTTGGATGACTCCCATCATTGGTGCCTACATTGCTGACGCCCACTTGGGACGTTACTGGACTTTCCTCATCTCCTCTGCCATTTATCTCTCTGTAATCTTCTCCTCCCATTATAATATCCATTTACATTTTTATCTCATACTAAATATTAATAATTATAAAGGACGAAATTTATATAAGACCTAGGTTTTATGAAAGCCAAATAATTATATAAGACCTAGGTTTTATGAAAGCCAAATAATGCCACACCTCAAATCCTGATCAACTGAAATTTCTTTCCATGATGGCTACAAAATCAATTTCTGATACCTATAATAAAATTTGAAACTCAAAAGATCGTATAGATCTTGCGGATCTTTAAACACTCATTTTTGGGTGAAATGGATAGTCTAGAAAATTTGTTAAAAAATAAACTATTTTTAATACTTGAAATCTTAATTTTTTTCCACAACCATAATGTTCAAGCTGAGATGATCGATTTAAAAGTTTTTCAATACTTGAAAGAAAAGTATACAATGAGACTATTTAACTTTGGTATAAGGTGGTCACAATTAATCTTGACTATTAGATGTGAAATTGGGTTGCTATATTTATTTCATTGACCAAGCTCAAAGTTCAAAATAAATTTTCTTGACACATCCAAGCTATCAAATTTTACAGTGGATGGTTATAAATAATTGTGAATGTCTTGTATCAAAGGTAAATCGTCTCATTGTATATAATCCCGTACTTGAATTGTAATTTTCGATGAGTTATGAAGTGAGGCTTTACTTATTTTGATAGGGTTGCAACCATATCAAACTATTTTTCATAATTAAAATATATTTATCCTTTAAAGGATATTTTTGAATAGTCAAAACTGCTTAGTTGATTGAATAAATAAGTTATAACTAGACGAATTATAATAATAAATAACATACTGTACCAAATCAATAATAATAATAATGACAACAACAATAACAATATATATAAATGCTACTTAAATCTAAATAATATGGAAAATAATTTAAAAAATTACTCAACCAGAATATAATGATTTGTTCTAGGATTTAAGACTCTTAACTGCAAAAAGAGTAACTGGGGTGCTCTCTTTTGATAGCTTAGATACTTTGCACAATTAAATGCACGCAAAAAGTACATTTAGAGGCAAAATATTGGAGTTTGGGAATATTGGGTGCGGCAGATGATCTTGCAAAACAGGGTATCTCCCTCTTAAATCTGGTGGTATCTGATGGTGGTTAGGGATGTTTGATATGGCACAATTCCTATCTTTAGTTAATAAAATATCATGACTGAAATAAAAAATAAGAAGTGAAATTGCAATACATTAACAGACTTATAATAATGCTTATTATAGACAAATGTTATGCTTATATGTCTATTATATATCAAGCTGTGCCAATGTCTATTATATATTTTTTAAAAAATGGATTTTGAGAGAGAGAGACCCCTCAAAATAGGAGATAGATAATAATAAATAGAAGAGAGAGTCATCTTAAAATAGGATAAATTTATATTTACGACAATTTATGAAAAATCTCTGACTTTTAACCGAATTTTAAATGCTTTTAACTAATGTTTTTTTTTTTTTTGGTTGAATTTTTGGAATTTAATATTTTATAATTATTTACATATTAAAAAGTTTTGACTAATTGGACTACCGATTAGACCGGTTTTTAAGTTGACCAAGCGCCTAGCCGGTTCGAGCACCAGTCCAATCCTGATAACAATAGTTCTAAGAATGTAAATGGGCCTTGCCCGTGTGTGGGCCAGCCTGATGGGACACAAAAGCCCGACCCTTCATGGGGTCCATCGGACAATTCAGGCCGGCAAGCTTAACGGGCCGGGACTTGGGCTTACTATTAAGGCCTATTAACATCAGACCCTTCACAGTGTTTGATGGGCCAGAGTGGCCTTTAAGGCTCGTTAATCCCTTACCTGGAACTAGCCCAAATCAGGTAGGACTTCATGAAATCAGACAAGTGTGTGCGTGTGTGAGAGCCTTCACTGTCCTAGAACCAACACAAATCTCTCTCTCACACCCACACAAAGAGCCATGCTTTTCCCAGTAATTGCTGGAATTTCGTGGTACTAGATGAAATTTCAAACAATTCTTTACTGCTACTGATCTCTCTCTCTCAGATTCACGGCTTCAATAAATAGTAGCTCAAATGCCTTTGCACTAGCTAAAATTCCAAAGTGGTGCTCACCCTCCCTCATGTCACAGGGAATGTGTCTGCTCACGCTTGTGGTCTCGCTCCCCTCGCTCCGCCCGCCGTCCTGCAACAGAAACAATCAAGACTGCACTGCAGGCTCCGTCCCACGTGCCTCTACATTCCAAATTGGGATCTTCTACTTCGCGCTATACGTCCTTGCTGTCGGCACAGGGGGCACCAAGCCTAACATCTCCACCATGGGAGCTGACCAATTCGACGAATCCCATCCTAAAGAGAGGAAGCAAAAGCTCTCCTTCTTCAACTGGTGGATGTTTAGTATCTTCTTTGGGACCTTGTTTGCCAATACCTTCCTTGTATACATTCAGGATAATGTTGGATGGACTCTGGGCTATGGTATACCAACAGCGGGACTCTTGGTATCTATCTGTATATTTGTCATCGGGACGCCGTTTTATAGGCATAAGTTGCCTTCTGGGAGCCCATTTACCCGAATGCTTCGCGTTTTGGTGGCTGCTGCTCGAAAATGGAATGTCAAGGCCCCTGATGACAGCAGAGAGCTCCATGAGTTGGATGCTGCATATTATGTTGCCAAGGGCTCATGCAGGATCGATCCAACACCAGAGCTCAGGTCTGTGAGAGTTTGGTGTGTGTCCATGACAAGGGTTAAAGTGAGAGCCATTGTCATAGGAATGCTTGATTTTGTTAAAATTTTACTAGGATGTCCAGAGTCTATTACTAACTGAGAACAAAACATTAGGGAACGAATGGCAAGTTCTTGTACTATTTATTTAAGATTTTAAAATCTTCACTTTGGTAAAGATTTTAAATAACACACAAGCACTTTTACTTACCAAAGACAAAAGTTTGAAATAATGATTTGACAATGGTTTTTAAAGTAAAAGTTCTGTTGTATACTTGATTAGTAGGATCGGCTCATAAGAAAAGAATAAGAAACCAAAACTTATACTTCAGTAAAGATGTGATGCCCATTTGGAAAAATAATAATTTCTTAATGTCTCTCTAATGTTCTAAATTCCAGTACTTAATAACATTCATGACCTATTGTTTGCAGGTTTATTGACAAAGCTGCAGTAAAGAGTGGCCCTGAAACTCCTTGGATGCTTTGCACAGCGACTCAAGTTGAAGAGACAAAGCAGATGATAAAAATGATCCCATTTCTGATTGCCTCATTTGTGCCTAGCATAATGGTAGCTCAATCCAATACCCTTTTTGTGAAACAAGGAACCACCCTAAATAGAAGCATGGGTCCTCATTTCAAGGTCCCTCCTGCAAGCTTGATAGGTTTTATCACCATTTCTATGTTGGTTAGCCTAGTGATTTACGACCGGGTCTTTGTCCCTGTAATGAGGAGATATACAAAGAATCCGAGAGGAATATCACTGCTACAGCGTATGGGAATTGGCCTTGCTCTACACATTATCATAATGACAGTCGCTTCCTTGATCGAAAGAAAGAGACTGAGTGTTGCGAGGGAACATGACCTAGTAGAACACGAGGGGACGATCCCTCTCACCATTTTCATACTACTCCCACAATTTGCTATCCTGGGAGTGGCTGATACCTTTTTAGAAGTTGCAAAGATAGAATTCTTCTATGATCAAGCACCAGAGAGCATGAAAAGTCTTGGAACTTCATATTTCTCAACTACTTTGGGTATTGGGAACTTCCTTAGCAGTTTCCTTCTCACAATTGTGCATAATGTCACAGGAAGGCATGGTAAAAAGAGTTGGATTCTCAATAATTTGAACGATTCTCATCTCGACTACTACTATGCATTTTTTGCAATCCTAAACTTGGTGAATTTCTTGTTCTTCTTAGTAGTGGCCAGATTTTATGTCTATAGAGCAGAAGGACTTGGTATGCAGAAAATTCAAGAGAAGGCACTAAAGACATCGGCCGTAGAGGACGGCGGTCTGGTTGAGGATATGAGACCAGGATAATTTATGATATCTGAATATTTACATGTTTGTATAGTAAAGAATGAAATTCATGCAGGTTTGAAATTCGAATGTTGATAACAGATATTCTTGCTTCTTTTTGAGAAGGAAGTCTCCTGTAATATCCTCTATACTTGCTTTGAAGTATATGAATTGTACCAATGTAATTTTAGGCCTCTGTGAAAATGGGCAATATTCTTAACTTTGTAATCAGCCTATCAGCGAGTACAGTAGGAGGCCGAGCCAAGGCCCGCGCCAAGTTGGGGCAAGTTCCAAGGCAACTTGAACAGTCCCAAAAGAAGATGCAGAAAATATAAAAAATTTTAAAAGAAGAAGGTAAATGCTAATATATTAGTTAGAAATATGTTCTTAGATGATTTTGATAGTTTTTAAGATGAGTTGGAGCTTTCATATTTTTTTATTTTCTTAATTTTTATGAAATATTCTAGGTCTAAATCAAAATTCTTCATAATCCATCTTTTATAGATTCTTTTCATCTTCTTTAGTCTTCTAACAATTTCTATTGCCTCTTTTAATATTTTCTTATTTTTAACTATTTTATAATTCCAATTTTGTTTTTTAGATTTTACTTTTCTTGGGGTATAAATAACTTGGTCAAGTCCACTCGGACTCAGCCAAGTTACTCTCGGCTAAGACCTGAGTACTTTTGCCGATGTGAGTTCTGCTACATCGGTATCAGCATTTTCACGTATCATTTTTTGGCTAATTCAGTAGAGTAGGAATTGAACTTGTCATGTAGTGTTGCAATGGTCAACATCTAACAAATCAAGCAAGTCCAACTCGGGGGGAATTTACTTCACCTCACACTTTTCCACTGCTCAAAATGTTGCACACGGGTCTTCATAGGGAAAGAAATGAAGTGCTTCACATAGTTTGCCCTACACCTCATGCATAAAGCAAGTGATTCTCTCCCACTGAAATACTATTTTACTTTGGATCTACTATATCTGTCACAAGTTGAGATCATTGAGATTACAATAAAGAGAATTCAACACACACCCTGATATTGAAGCCATTGAAAATTCTACTGGTAATTGTCCAAAAAGACCATGGAGTCTCTATTCATTGAAGAATTTTTGTAAATAAAGGAGTATGAAAGGTTATGTAATAAGAGATATATGATGAATTTCTGAGTCCAAAATGTTCTCATTGAAAATCCTAAAAATATCTGAGATAGTCCAAAGAAATCTATGTTGTTTTAAGGGTTATTTAGTGATTAACCCTTCAGATTTATTTGTTGGGTGAGTGTGGCCATTAAAGGCTTTATGAGTGCTTGTAAAATTGAATGATATAGTGGAATATGAACTTAATGGGAGTGTGATCCCTCGTAGACCATACTAAACAACAATGTTTACTAATACCGGACTGTGCTTGACGGTCTAGGCAACGTCAATTGGGAAAAACTTATGTTACCTGGCCATAGAGTATAAACCGATAAGGGTTCTAATGGGTTATTCCTTGATAAGTCGGAGTATACCCTGATGAGTGAGCCAAGGGATTGTGTGACCCTTTTGTGTGATGGTGACCTTCAGAGACGAGGGCCAAAGCCTCATCCATGTACCATCATACGACATGCATATTGATAAATCGTATGATGGTACATGGAGTGTAGGCGTTTCGGCCCTTCGTCCTCGTGTAACGTCGACGAGTCGTGGGAGGACGG